TCAATAATGACATTTAAACAAATACATCGTAGACCATACAGTGTGTAGCAATACTAATCACCTTTCGATAACATTATTACAGTTCGAGTAATTATGGCAGCCAGTTTTGCTAAGTAGATAGCTAGTAAGTCGCAACGATTTCTTTATATTACTCCTTCAGCAGTCTTGGTTCTAGTATGAAACTATCTCTTGTATGCTCATTACATGCTGTTGAGTCATTTCACTGGTGGATTTGTTACTGAAGTTGCTCCTGCTACTTGATATAAGTATGGTTTAGTGATTATATTTTTCTTTGTTTGGGTGAGTTTCAGATTTTTCTCTTCTTATAAGCGCTATATGACATTATAATGGCACAAATACTTTTGCCTAGATGTAAATTGAGTGATTTGAGAGAGTTTAGGACCTTTAGACTACGTACCTACAGTTCACTCGGGTTGAAATTTGAGTAGCTATAACTCACCAACAAGAAAGGTTTAAAGAGTCCCACACATACTAAAACAATAACTAGTGTTGATCTACTGGAAAAGAGTCTCATTTACCTCCAGAGTACTACTGTCATTGCTGGGCATTTTCTCCTGAGTTAAAAAGCTTGTACTACCTAGAGCTGCTCTCTAAACATCTTAGGGCAGTAAAGCAAGACTTTTCCTAACAGAAGAGAAGCTCTCACAGATTTAGAGCACACGATTGTAAAGATATACATTCTCAAAGACAAAAGATAGCACACAGAATGAATGAATGAATGACAGACAGACAAACCGAGTACCTAGTCCTCGCCTACGCAAAGCTGGGCAAGGCCAACTATGCAAAGCTGGGTGAGGAAAACAATATAACAATGATAGAAATGATGACATTCATTATTCAGTTCAGTATTAAAAATATTTATTTTCAATCTTGTACATTATTATAAACTATTGCAAATATTTTTTGTACTTTATATTATTTTAGTAAATATTTCTAGATTAACCTTTTATGTAAACTACATCTTTATAAAATTACTAGCAAATTTAATGTGCATTAGGCTATCATGTACATGTACTTGTAGTCGTGTATCAAGAATCTAATAAAAATTGAGAAGTCTCTCCTAATCATTTTAATGCAAGGCTCATGTACACAAAACTTTGAAGCATTTTTAGTTTGTATTAATTATTCACATTTATTTAGCCACATATGATGCATGAAATTTATAACGTATTTTGCTCTATTGGTTATAGGGTTTACCATTAATATAGGATTTGAAAATTTTCATAATGTTTATCATGCTGACAGTGTTAACTTGTGATACTGGCTAAACCTTTAAGTATCGATAGAGAGAATGCTGTTACTATTATATAACATATAAGATTAAATGTTGATGGGGATTTTTTATTGGCAGATTGACGAATTTATATAAAAATGCCAAAATAAAATCCGCAAGCAATAATTTTATTTATTGTATAGCTTGATATTTTTGTGGTCTGCTCCTGGTGGGGCAATTCGTGGTTTGATTTTTGTGGTTGACAGTTTACATAGACTGTAAGGGGATGGCACTTCAATGATTTCATGGGTTTAAATTTCGTGGGGCAGCCCATAACCACAAAAACCACGAAATTTACATTCCACAAAAATTTCAAGCTATACAGTATGTGTGTGACCACACCCACAATAATTTTAGTAAAAAATTTGTGATGGCTAGCTTATTGGCGGATTTAATATTGGTGATTTCTAACAATTTAATTATATTACCAGGGTTTTACTTAAGCGGGTGTAGTTCATATAAAACATTATCAGAGAAAGACGGTATAGTAAAGCCATGTTAGCTAGCAGCTTTTATTTTCACCATACTCTTAACTAAACTGCCAAAGAAAACTCCTGCCAACAAATCCATGGTAGATTGTTACATCGACAGTAACTGTAGTGGTTGAAAGTACATGTATGTGCACTAATAAGGACTACCATGCAATAGTATGAAATGCTCATGGGACTATAGTAGTCAATTGAAATGAAAGTGAATGATGTTATCTATACAATGTAAATTATAAACTCTTCATTTATGATATTCATTAACTGTTATATGTATTATTATACTAGGAGTAATTATGGCAACTAGTTTTGCTAAGCAGCTAGCTGGAAATTGGTGACCATTTCTTCATAATACTCCTTCAGCAGTCTTGGTTTTAGTATGGAACTATCTCATAAATTCTTATTACATATTAGGGAGTCGTTTTGCTGGTAGATTTAGTTCTATAGAAGTTGCTCCAGCCACATGGTATAAGTATGGTTTAGTCATTATGGTTTGTTTTGGTTATTTCTTCTTTCCTTTATTTGGTCTGTTAGCTGATGTATGGATTGGAAGATACAAAGCTATACTGATTGGTTTAGCATTGTGTTTTATATCATAGATCATAATAGGAATTGGATTTATTGTTGAAAGTTTTTTTGGCTCTAAATCAGTGTCATGGACTTTTTATAGTTTTGCCTTTGTCATACACTTTTGCGGTTTTTCCAGTTTCACTGCTAACATCATTCAGTATAACATTGATCAACTTGTTGGAGCTTCAGCTGATGAACTCAGTTCTGTCATTTACTGGCATATACTAGCTGAACCACTTGTTTTATTCCTCTTTTACCTTCTTGAATGTTTATTTTATAGTAGTAAGTATTTTATCATGATTACTTTTGTAGCATCAGGTGTATCTGTATCTCTTGTACTGGTGTCTCACTCATTTTTCTAACACAAACTCGAGAACATATCACTGATCAAGAATCCCATCAAACTGATAGCTAGAGTATTGTGTTATGCCAGAAAGCACAAGTATCCTGAGAATCGTAGTGCTCTTACCTACTGGGAGGAAGAGGCTCCTTCAAGACTAGACCTGGGTAAGGATAAATATGGTGGACCATTCACAGAGGAAGAGGTAGAAGATGTGAAGACAGTATTTCGAATGTTACCATTATTCATTGGTTTATTTGCTATTAATCTAACTAATGATACCTATTGGTCTGCTGATAAGAGTTTTAGTGTCCTAACTTGCTTAGCAGTAACAGACACATCATATAATTTTTCTTCAGTCATTCTAACATTACTTTATTTATTCTTTATCAGAGTTTGTTTCTACAAGTATATTCCCAGTATGCTGACTAGAATGAGTGTTGGTATCTTCCTTGCTTTCATTGTTACAGTTTATAAAGTGATCATATTTGTCATTGAGAGGTCTCGTCCTGACATAAACAACTTTGGCAAGTATCTTATCATTCCAGAAACTATACGAAGTCTCACTTTTATATTACTGTATCCAATATCACTGGAGTTTACATTAGCTCAGTCTCCAGTACACATGAGAGGAGTGATGGTTGGATTGTGGTATGTGGCTTCTTGGGGAATTGGTTACCTCATTAGTACTATGTTAAAGTTTCCATTTGATTGTGAAAGTCAATACATATGTACTAGTTTGTATTATTATATAACAAAGAGTGTACTAGTTCTTATCATACTGATAGTGTTTGTGATACT